CATATCTGCGAAATTCTGGTGGTGCTATATTAAAAGGACTGGGAGCCATTACACTTTTGTTGCCCGGACACAGCCTGAAATAATTCTCATCGTATTATTTAATTCAACATCTAATTTCTTCGCGTAAACACTACTCTTCCATACTGGGGCGCAATGTTATACACTAGTCCTAAGGCAGATGTGCGGAGTATATTTGCCCTGCCCCACCAGCTAGTTTGGCTAACTTACTGATAATGTTATTTCTGATTTTTAACTTTTTTCTAACTCCCTCTAGGTGTTGCTTGAAGGTCAATATTCTATCTAGTTTAGTTCCTAGATATCACAGGGCGTCTTCTCTTTATATCTTAATTACCTGGGACATTAAGTTAAGTTTTCTGTTAGCGTCTCTATTATTTAAGTAGAAAGCGATGGAAGTTATTTGGTAGGGTTAAGAGTTAGGTGCCAAGAATTGAAATATTTGTGAACAATGCACAGATCTTCGTTCAGTATCTCCTCCAGTTTTACAAAAAAATCAGCGTGAGCTACTAATCTGAATACATAAATTTAAGTGATGTTGTGTTTGCAAAATCGGATGTGTAGATGTTACGACCTAACGATTCCGTATGTTTTAAAATATTAATGAACATTTATGATAATCACCAACTTGTTAATATTATTTATCAAGACCCCTGATTTGTAATGGAATGGTAAAAGTAACTCGGTACCTATAGTTCCAATTCATTTCAACAATTTATATATTTTAAATACAATTTTCATTACAAACAATTTATTATATTTGTTAATTTTAATAATATTATAATAACTCTTACTTTTACTGACCAGACTAAACCACCCTGACCCGGATTCCTCATTCTCTGATCCAGATGAAATTTGGATAATCATCTGTAATTACATAGTCCACCTTATATTCGAAAATCAGCTTTCCAAAACAATTGGTTGTTATAAATTAATTATATAAACTAATAATTATTAGTCTATTAATAGATTTCTACCGATATGCATTATGGCATAATACAAACTGATGTACGTAAAATTACTGCTCTTCTGCACAACAAATTATTAAGTATAAGAGTATAGTTCTTATACTCGTATTTATTTAACGCACTTTATTACACATGACCCATTATTCCTGGGCTATGTCATGACTAAAGACTGGATTTAATTGTATTTAAAACACAAAAATTGCATATTAAAATTGGCATTATAGGACACTAGACAATGTTGTTAATCACTGGGTTTTTGTTTCATAAGTGTAAGAACAGTGGCTGCGCCAAGAATTTTAGCTTGGGAGGCCCATTGAGCGCCTTTGAAAATTTGGTAGGATCAAAAAAAGTCCCAATCCGTGGTGATTTTCCCGCTCATAGGCGCAATAGGGGAGGGGGCTATCACACTACCTATAATAAAAATTGCATTGCATATATTAAGTTTCTACATTACAAGTTATTAGAAATAACTTGTATAAAATGGTATACAAACTATATGAAATGGTACGCATAACAATTGGTTTTTATTTTAATTGATAATAAATATTTATAGATATATTATTTACATACTTAAACATTAGAATATAAGATATCATTTTCAACAAATTTAGTCAGCCGTTATTTGTAAATAGGTCATTGTTTGTTAAATAGAACTTTTTTTGAAACTACTTATAGGATCTATCTACCTATATGATATTCACAATTCCCATATTTCCGAATATTCCAATTAAATAGTTTTTGATATTTTTTTCATGTGAGTTATTAAAAAAATCATTCAAGGAATGTGCTATAACAAGTACTTGTGTATATTTTTGTATTTTAATAAGGTTTATTTTTATACATAGGTATTTTAAGTTTTGAGAATTTGGGAATTTCTTTTAATACCTGTTATATTTTTTTTTCTTATTTTCTTATTGTAAAAATTGAAATTGCCATATCCTCATTCTAATACAATACATCGGCTACCTACTAAGCCGTTCATTCTATTGTGGATTGTGATGAGGCCTTTTAATCAAAATTTTCCAGCGAAGGTTATAGGTATTAAGAGAGTTTTAATACTCAACCTTTAACCCTTAAAAATCATCCTTCGCAGTGAAAAACGATATTATTATTATAAGATTTTACATTTGGTTTATTTATTTACCTTGGAGACGTAGATCTAGCAACAAAGCCTAGCAAAATAACATATTATGACACATAGTCCGGCGTAGAACTACTTAATATCCACTTATTTTTTTCCGTCCAATATACTAAGCAAAATGGGAATAAAGGTCAAAAGAATTCAAAAAATGGCACTGGCAACGCCGGGCGGGGGACACCTAGCACTTTCAACACGATTATCCTTTAACCTATAACTGTAATATAAAAAGTAATCAATAAAAGTTGTAGGTAACACAAAAAAACTAGTAAAGCACGATTCCGTACGTTTACGATACGTACCTTTTTGGGAACACAATTCTGTACGATTTTGATCAAACAACGGATTGTCAAAATGAACCAAAAAACAACACTATTCAAACGATATTCTAGGCAATGTTGTTAATTATTATTTATTATTAAAACGTTGAAAATTTGTCAATTACATAGTATAAATTGTTCACGTATTTTTACTACATATACTTGACCTATGTATAAAATGGGTTTATAATTGCCACTAGACAGCATAGACAAGTATACTAGATAGTAGACGACGTTACGCAGTTGTCAATGTGTGGATCAAATTGTGTTAGAATTATGGATTATTAACATAAATCGAGATAACATAAATAAAACAATTATATTATAATATAATAATCAAATCATAGTAATTTGAATAATTTATTTGGCGGGATATTCCTAATCTCAAAACATCTACCCGGCAGCGCTTTTGCGGCAACACGGGAAACGTTTCTTTCTCCGTAAGCGGAAATATTGTAATAGGCGGGAGGATAGGAAGTTGTTCGACCTTATCATCTAAGACCGTGTTCTATTTCTTCCACACACATGTATAATTTGTTCGATATCTTTCTAACAATGTTGGTCTCACGGAGACATAGACGGGGTGTGTATAAGGCGCAGTCTATTTACACGATAAGGTCTATCACGGCTTTAGATGTCTATTATAGGTTATTTCAACTCCATTGATAATGATGTTTATCTCATGTTGATAACAAAACCAAAATCATAATGTTATAGTAATCTATTCATTTATTACATTACCCATACTACCATTCGAACTAAAATAACGATAATAATCTAACTTTTTAACGTCTATTTTTCTTTTTAGTTCATTGTTCAATGATTTCCCGAATGAATCTTATACCTACTATAAATAGGTCTGTATACTGATGGACCTTCTTACAAAAATTCAATGATATAATTTTAGAGTAATTTATACTAATTGTTAACTATCATCTGCCTTTATTTTTAATAGAATTAAATGTTTAAATAATCGTATTTTGAATTTTTTTTTTTTTGCAACGTATTTACAATCTATTCTTACTAAAAACAATAAGCAAATGTGAGCAATTTGGAAATTTATAATTTATATGTTCATTAATTTATTAACTTGTTAGTTATCATTTATCAATATAAAAATATTGATAAGAGTATATCGTACGGTTATTCGGAGTCATTTGTGGAGTCAACTGGATTCGACTAATAAGAGTAAACTATAACTACGAGTTTTCTAATATCTAAATTTGTGGTGTAGACCCTCTCATATAGAATCCCGGGAAAAAAATCCCCGCAGGAAAATGGAACGTACCTTAAAATGTGCACGATTCCGTTTGCTGATAAGGACCGTTCGGAATCGTGTTCTACCCAAAAAAAAATGCACACGGACAAAACCGGGTTATTCAGCTAGTAACTAAATTTAACTATAACATAAAATATATAATATTATAGTTTAATTATATGTTATATAATTCTTATTTGCCTTAGCTACTTACTAAATAAAAAAATCTAGTTAATAGGTAAATAATTACAAGCATAGTTATATGAAATGTTATGTATAATAATTGGTACTAATTGTTAGTGATAATGTATAATATAAAATGTATTTACATATTTAAAAACTATATCATAATTACATTTTTTATTAAAAAGAAATATAAATAACTATGATAAATTAAAAACTATAATATTAACTAGAAGTCTGTGTATTATGTAAACAACAGTTTACTGCAACTGGATAACCCATTAATAACATAACCAGAGAATATAGCCACGGGGTTTTATAATAATAATAAAAATAATAATTTGTAAACAAAATTATTACAATTATTCGATTTGATAACATCATTTTGTGAATTGTGATGATCATGATCACAACTCAAAGAATCATTCATTTTTTTAATTCGATCAACAAAAAAAATTGAATTTGTCGTTGCCATATAGAAGTATAGAATTTCAATTTTTTTAATTTGTTATTTTAAAAAGAATTTCTTTTTGCTTTTGTGGTTAGGCGGCCGAAGAGTGGCCAAGATAAATTAAGGGAGAACGTAGCCCACCCGGGCCTTCACTTGGCTCCGTCACTGTCTAAGAGATTTGTGAGTTAAAAAATCAAAGAAATGCCAATTCATGTTTTTCATTATAAAATAATTATAATAAATAAATATTTAAATAAACATACGTCACGGAATAATGAGGACGGGTGCAACCGCTGTTACAGGTAATTTAATTTATACCTGTAAGCAACAATAAACAAATAGCTTACGAAATAACGATTCTTATTCAGTTGATAGTGATGCTATGTTGACAATATATATTACATATTATAATAAAACAATTATGCAAGCTCTATATATTTCCGTTAATAATATTTGTTAATATGTTAATACATAAAATATATTTAATTAATGTAAAAATAAAACGTATTGAATTAATTAATTTAATAAAAATAACATTTCTCCCTGTAAATAGCTGATAAAATTTCAGTGACCGAGAGTGTCCGGTACATAGAGGTTTCGCTATATTTTTTTGAATAAATTATGCATTTATTCAAACACTGATTTTTCGAACTTTTAAGTGTAGTTAAAGCCGATATTTTCGAATATTTAGATTTTTTTCAACATTTAAAGAGTGATGTGTGGTGATACCAACTTCGGTTTAGTAAATGAGAACCTATAATAAAAATGCCATAAATAGATGGAGCATTACTTTAAATAAATTTTGGTCTTGAAATTCTTTCATAGTTTTCGTTTCACGCGCTTCCCTAAGTACGAAACCGCTCCTGTTCAAAAGTTAAATATATATTTAAAAATTTACACGCTAGCGGCCACAATATTGAAAATATTTGAACCAAATTTTATTATGTTTGTAATTTGTTTGTTTGTTTGTAGGTTCATGTGGGTGAGCTTGAGAGGATGTTACAATTTTGAAAAAAATGATGTCTAGGCCCCCATGAAATTTCGAAAAAACTTTATTTACATCAATAAAAATGCTAATAATTAACTAAATAATCTCTAATTGATGGGTAAACCACGATAAAAACGGAAATCTAATATTTCATTAACATCATTAAATGATGATCATGGTAAAATTAAAGTAATTGTTGCTGCATATTTGTACGTTAAAAAAAGGGTCATTCCATAAATCGTTTGGTTAATAATGTTAATAGTGGTACACCCACAAAAAACATCCAAAAATAGCGATTATTAAGTTCGGAATTTTTCCAAAGTACAAAGTAGGTGACTCGAATAAGATGTCAACACATTAATTGATTCGTCTGACTCAAAATAAAAAAAAAAAATGAATTTAAAAATAGGCGGTAGTCATAAAAATAATCGATACTAAAAAAAAAGTCAAGGGGGGAGACAATATACTTTCCTGACCATCCTGTGTAAATATTACCCCAATGATTTTAACGAATAGTGCGAAAAATGCCGTTTCACGTGGCCAGTTTAGCAAGAGCATTATTGATTTTTTTTCGGAAAACTATGTTATGTACGTGTGAATAGTGTGTGCACTGTGTTTGTGGCACGCAGGCTGTGCGGTTGTCACGGAAACCGAGCTCATGGTGAGGGTAGCGATCGAAGCGCAGGCGCATAAGCCGCTATAATATGATCAATAGTTTTTACACCTAGGGTTCGGTGAAGGTCAACGCTCGGTGGTCCGAATGAGAATTTACGGGCATGGCCGGCTCCCGGGTTTTTCTGTTTATGTATGATACATATTGTGTTGATTATTTATATTTTATTGAATATAAAGTAAAAATAGTTGTTAATACTCTTAACGATTGTTCTTAACATTATTTTATACCAAAAAAATATCAAATATTTAATCACTGTTTTTATTATAGTATAGTATAAGTTCAAATTTAATTTTATTAATTTTCCAGATATCTATAACGTAGCTTCCGTTTAATTAACGTTACGACGCAGCCTAGTCGATACGTTTGAACCGAACCGGGTTGTCAACAGTAAAATATATTTTTTATAAGACAATAACTAAATTTTGTCATTTGGCAGAAAATGAAAATTTACGATTTTGGTGGAAAAGGGAATCGGCCAATTGTATAATTTAGTGGAAAAGGGAAAGATACATTTCTGGCGAGTTCGGGTAACTCCCGAATTTATTTTCTCCCGTTATTATGTTATTATTATACTATTTAGGAAAGTAGGTACAATGGGATAAAAAAAAAACTAGCATGCAAAAGCTGATTTGCTAGGGTTATCATATTTTCATAAAGCAAATCCGGGACAAAGAGCAATAAAAGACATTATTTTATACACATTTGTATTTATCAAAAAGATTACTGTAAAACATTAATAAACCCATTAAACATATTAATATCAATTAATTGGATAATTAAGTAATTTTGTAGTCAGGAAATAATTTTGAATAAAGTGGTGTAGTATATTCCAGTGAATTAAACGAATAATGATGAAAAATGACCTCCTAAAAATTTACCAATTCCGCGGCAGCTACTCATTTTTACTCTTTTGTATCAATAATTACAAAAAACTTGGTTAGGTTAGGTTAGGTAAGGTTATTTTTTCCTGTTGTTGTATTAATATTACACTGCTCAGGATAGTAGGTACAATGGGACAAAAAAAAAAAACTGGCTTGCAAAACTTGATTTGCAGCTGTCCCTGTGGTAAACTGTTGAAATTATATCTTCTAGGGCGCAATACACTGCCCCGTATCTATAGCATGCAAAAGTCTCAACATTTTGTGATTTTCATGGAATTTTCGTGAAATCCGGGAAGAATGTATATTATGAGTTAGAATCAAATCCGAATAAATTTTACGTGTAATAATGTATCATGTATAAACCTAGTATTATTATACACTGATAAAGCAGCCAAAATGTTGCTACAATGAGACACTCGTATACATTCCTGACTAAGGCTACGCTCTAAATCTAAAATATTTAATACTTTTATAATAATACCTTAGAAATGTGTTCGTACTACCAACGGAAATGTATTTAATGTTCAAACGTTGACACTACTTTGGTCTACCTAGACGATCAATAATATTCTTATACAAGTTAACACCCATAGTCTCCGTACTCCGCACAGTACCGCACAGTACCGCACAGTCGTTAGTCGCTCGTCGCTCGTCGCCCGTCACCGACGCCATTGCTACCGTTTCCTTTGTCTTTGCTGTCACTGCCCAACTAGTCGTTTTTAATTTTTCACTACAGTTCTATTATAGAATTACGAATATTACGATCATATCTCCTATTATTGAAGTGTTCAGTATGAGGAGTTTTGTAAACGCGTTTGTTATATGGAGTGTTTTCATTCAAGTGGCGCCGTATTTCAACTACGACCCCTGTTGGTTGGTCAAATTATACATGGATCAATGTGACAGCAGCGGTGTCGGTATCAGCGATGGAAAAATCGATAACGACATGCCTATTACAAGCCAGAATTTGACACCGCCATCAACAATTACTGATATGATTATCAATCTTGATAATCCTAATTACTCTACAAAGTTCGAGGAGTCCATGGAACATACGTTTCCTGCCAATCCCCTTGTCTATGATCTTGCTGCTTATGGATCATACATGGAAAAAATCAGTGCTGGTTATTTCACACCCTACTAAAACCTTTAACAAAACAAATTATAGAACACCACACACATGTAAACGTCTCAACATTTATCAATTCACATTACAAGGTATGTAAAGCATGCAAGTTATACATTTATCTTTTACTTTAATTTAATTTGTATACCTTATTACGTAGATGTTTTGATCTTTATTCAGCTGTGAACTATTTCTGAATAGAAACATTAATTTTGGGCCTGGAAGAAAAAATGTCTAACTATTAAAAATAACTTCTCCCACTTTTGACACTTGTTCATATAGATACAGATAATGGTCTCCACAATTCGATGTCTTTTTCAATATTTTTCAAATATGTCATTTCTCTCACATTGGTATAGCACTTATCCCAATAATTGTTTAAATATATTTAACATAGGAACTATATCTATATAAATAATAGATATAGAATTGTATTTTATATTTTATAGATATATATTAAACATAGCAGTTTATCTATTTTTGAAAAAAAACTTCATGGGTCACATTAATAATAACATGTATTTTTGCCAAAATGGAGTTTTATTATTTTAACATATTATATTATTAATAAATATATGCTATTGCCAAGATTTGTTCACGAGTCTTAAATGAAAACAAGGGGTGTGTTGAAAATTCCATATTTTAGATAAGGTTAGATAAGCTTGTTTCGGATTTACTTTTACACAATCCTTTTGCTACATTTACACCTCAATTTTTTGATCAGCATTAAGTATTTCCTGTGACATATTTTACTTTCAGAATATATGTTCTATCAACATTCTTAGTCTCATTTAGTGTTTTAATATAATATCATTACAGGTATTTAAAATATTTCATTCATTTTTTTTTCAGGCTTTATTTGCAGTCCACCGCCATCTGATTCAGATTTCCACATGTGTCAAGATAGTTTTGGTCAACCAATTTCAGACAAGAACTAATAGACAAATATTTTTAGCATAATAATATAATTAGAATTTTTCTGTGTGTTTGCAACATTATTTAATAAATATAACATTAGTAGATTTTTTTCGATCATTTAATAATCGTGTGAATGATTTAATTTTATAAACAATAGCCCTTACCCTAAGCGCATTACCTAATGTAATCTGTACCTTAAGCTTAACAACGAGTGTCTAAAACTAATCTCTTTTATGCGTGTTCATTTTGATAATAACTAATATAAAAATTGAGCATTTTAATATTACATATTGAGTTCTATTTCAAATAATAGTTATAGCCTTTATAGACACATAAATGTTAAACAAAATTGAGTTGATAGCATCGTGTTATTATATGAATATAAATTATGGAATGTTTTTTGATAAAACTAATTTAAGTTTTGAGAAATGCTAGTTGAATTCTCTAGAAATTCTGACAATATTGCACAGACATAAAGTAATCTTTACCATATCAGTGTTCCAAAATTAGTCAGGGACGAGGTTTAATTTACAGGAAGAAAAGTAACCTTAAATATATGTGCATTTTAACTTGATAATTCTTTATTATATTATATATTAGTACATGAAATATTATTCTATAAGTTAAGGGGAAGCAAAGGGGAATTTTATCCTAAGAGCCCAGGCTTCCCCCACTTATAATTCTCTGATACTGATTTTATAATTTTATAGATCTTGATATTACTATATTCCATTTACCGATACGTACGAGAAAACAATATATATAATTTATTATATTTTAAAATATACACCTTGCTACTTTAGTTTTAACGATGTAATGCTTACATAATAATATAATATATTATTTATCATTTCTTCAAATTGTTTAGTAGTTACCAGTCACAGCCATAGAAGCAGCATTGATTTAATATGCTGAACAACTATTAATGCTAAGAATCACTATTGGCCATTAGTTGCCTACCTAATTTTTTCCGAAATTAACACAATTTTAAAATCTAACATTTTTATTAATAGTCTTTCTGGCCCAAATATTTATATTATTTTATCTAGCAAACCCAGAAATGTAGCATATAATGTCTCGAATTATGTAACAATATTTTTTCTGAAATTATATTTTGATATTAAATTAAATTTATATCTAACCTACTTACTTAAAAAAATTATTGATCTAATAGGAATGGTATTTTAAACACTAATAAAATAAAACACTTCAGTTTTTACAAATTGAACATTTAAAAATCATAACTGAGAACTGATAATGAATTTGTTATCTCAGAAAACAGTATTTTCATAGGGTTCTCTAAAACAATGTATATTTTGCTTACACGCATACCGGCATAACCACGTTGTCTAACGGGTTTACCGATGAAGAAAGTACAACGTTTGTTCCTTAAAGCAGCCTATGAATGTGCAGTCATATTGCACTAACTAAACGTTGATTTGAAAAATTAATTTCGAACACGTTCGAATTTCTGCAACCAATTGCACAACACGTCAAATAACACCATACACTATGTACCTATTTGTGCAACAGCCTTTGCTGTGCAACAAGATTGTAGATTCCTGGGCCCCTTTACGATTGTGAGGGACGGCGCGAATGCAATCCCAGCTATCAAAGTGTATGCGTCCAAGGTGTCCACATTAGGGATTCTCGCGAGGGTCAACCCATTAATGTGCAATGACCGGGTCCCACCCAGGAGGAACCGCCTAGTTGATCACGGTAAATCTTCACGCCAGGTAAGTATGCCTGTTGACCATGTGAACCCTTAGATGCTGTCCGAAATCTAGCCGATCGTTGTCGCCCATCCGTCGGCTACCGGCTCGTTTCCGTATCGGTCGGCCATCTCCAGGTCTCGATACGAAGACAAGACATCCGGCTCCTCAGCCTCGGGTCCGGAAGTCCGGGCTGAAAGTTTTTTGCCAAGCCGAAATCACAATTCAGGCGTGTGAACCGTCAGCCGCCGGCCGATTCTTAACGGATACAGACGGACGCGCCATCCGGTGGCCAGACGCGGACGCGCGCCCGTCACCAACACTGCCATCATGCGGCCAAAATTCAACGGCATGATATTGCGTTCCGCTGTTTTCTCTCGCTATTTATCCTGTGAAAAACATTCAAACCGAGAGTCCGCCACTGTCATGTGGATCATTCGTGAGGAAAAAATAGTGAAACCCACTTAAAATACGTAAGTATTTAAAATTATAATATTGTTATGTTTTTCGTTTTAAATTATTTTCCGCGATCGACACTCGACAGTTTTGTCGTTTTCATTCTGTGCGGTTTACGTTCCGAATATAGATCATGATTCATGACGATTTTATAATAAATACACGAAAACAATATTATTATATCTACCTAACGATTTGTTGATTTAATTATTGCATCACACCGAAAATAGAGCAATATAATTAATATTTATTATTATTTACTTAGTATACCGAGTGATCCATTTAAGTGGTTACATTCATTATCGCGGAAAGTATTAACATTTTCCGGAATTTGTTTTCTAGAATATTTAAGAAACAAGCTGCTCTACAATTATATGGTAAAAACCACTGCCTACTTTTGATATTCAAATAGCCACCTATATTAAAAAATTCATAGATAGATGGAGTATTAATTAAAACAAATTTCAGTGTTGACATTTGATTTCCGTCGATCCTTTTAGTATCGAAAAAGTATTTAAAATTATAATATTGTTATGTTTTTCGTTTTAAATTATTTTCCGCGATCGACACTCGACATTTTACAAAGATTTACAAATTTTTACCAAGATGTTTTTTTATTATATTTTTTTTTTTGTTCTGTGGACAACTTATCTACCAGAGATCTTGCTCCGATTTACAATGGTAAGACTCTTTTAAAAAGGAAATACAACTGGGGAGGTATTTCAGAGAGATAATTTTTTGATTTTCCACTTGTTTTTCTAATAAATATGAAAGTCATGGGAAAACCGCAGGATAATCGGGAAAATCGGTACAATATTGTCATATTAAACAAATATTTTCAAAGAAAATATACATTGCTTATGTAATTATTTTACCATAATATATGATATATATATATATATATATATATATATATATATATATTGTTGAAAAAACAACTTCATTATAAACTGAACTTACCTCAGAATCGTTTTTTCGTTAGCAATGGTTAATCGTTGCTAATAACAGATGTACATTAAATTACCTACTATAACAGTGACCGTCCTCATTATCCTAGGACGTCTTTTTTAATTCTATGCTAATTGCATTTTCCCATATGTCTTTAGCATGGAATTGAATGCTAAATCTTGTCTTTTTAGTCGGCATACAATTAGGTACACAATATTTGGACACATATTTGTTCATTATTATTAGTAGAAAATCTCAAAAAGATTAACTAGAAAAAAATTATTACCTATGTTTTGTAGTTCGTGCATTAAGAAATAGGCATATTAAAGGACGGTTTTGTATATAGATATAATACCCGGGTAAATCTTTAATCACTATTAAAGGTTTGTAGTACAAAACATATCACCGTCGTTATTAAGCGCTAGGTATATAATTTGACCATATAGAGGTCATAGAGTGAGAAACTTTTGTCTTCAACTGATAAACTGTTGTTTCGTATCCTGAGCTGCATGTGTTTGAAAACTTAACTCGAGTTAACTCTGATGTTCGAGATATTAGAATTAACTTCAGACAAACGTTCTGTAACACATGGTTATTAACTCCGACTTATAAGTTAACTCAAACAATCAAACATAAATAGCTAAGTTCTTTAAGAACTTTATTGATAATGATACTTATGGAACGAATGCAGTTTAGCCCCCAAGCGATTTTTTTTTTCAAAATATGTGTTTTTGCGTGTACATTAAGAATGTAAAACAAAAGTCTGACAAACTTTGTTTGGAAAGTTATAGGGTAAATTCCATAAATCTCGGGTTTTCCGTTTTTAATATTTCTTAATTAGATTTTAACATTTTAAATTTTTTCCCTCAATATGTGTTGTTAAATGCTTAATTGATTAGTATAATCAAAACTTGCCTATCATATTTACTTTTATAGCTATTGTACATTAACTTTCAAAAATATCAGTTCTGGAATCAATCCAATATGTGGTCAAAAATAGACATTTATTATTAGTATTATTTATGGTTATTCATATTTTGATATCAAAGTTTATATTGAAGTTAAAATAAATCCTTCTGGCTCATTAAATTATACTTATTCAAATTATAATATAATATTTTTGTTATTCCATCTATAGTATCTTATATTTTTGTTACATATACGGCTATACATAAACATTTATTTGGATTTCATTTTGTTACTATTGGCTATTGTCTGTTATATAATAATTTCGTTTTAAAACATACTAGGTAAATTTTTCAGTTCAGTTCAGTTCAAAAGTTTTCGATTTGGGTGCGAAACACTGCGTTGTGTAGATAACAGGGTTTATAGGAATTTTATAGAAATTTAAGATTAATAACCATACTTTGTGTCTTTATCTGATGGCAAACTGGGTTCGCGTCATTAACACGTTGCATTTTAACATCTACAACTCTAAAACTAGGTCTCTTTCTATATATTCTTAATATACACGCAAGATTAAACAAATTTCAAGTAATCACTTAGGAACACGATTTAAGGTATACTGGTTACTCGGGCTATGGAACTGTAATCTACATAATTATTCGCATGATAAAACAATTCTGTAATCAGGGGCGGATTGGGCCACCGGGAATCGGGAATTTCTCCAGTGGGCTGCTTCTTCAAATAACCATTTAAACGAATATTTTATGTTAAAAATTATGCTGAAATACCTATAGGTATTTCTTTTAGGTATTTTTTTCTTTACACTTTTTTCAAGGACATTTTCTTTTTACTAGTTACCTGTGTTGATAGTTTTTAATAGATTTTTTTTTTTTACCAAATATAAAATACAGATATGATTGACAAATGACAGAACTTAACAGAGCAACATATCTTTCCAAATATGTAAAAAAAAAATTGTAGTTACCTATATTAAAATAATGATAATATATGTTGACTAAAATTTAGTATTTGGTATATTAATAAGTGGGCCGGTACTTTTCTATTTTCCCGGATCAAAATATCTCTACAATCTACCCCGTCTAAAGTGCTCGTAAAATGAGATGAAATATTTATATACTATATATTGTATATACTAGATCAGGCGTGCCTGATACGTTAATGTAATTATAGAACAAAAAAAAAAACCGTGAGTTTAATACGGCCCGCAGTATAAATATAAATTTCGAATATGGCCCACGAGTTGAAAAAGGTTGGGCATGCCTGTACTAGATGTATTGGTACACACTGAGTAACCAGTGTGTACCAATACTGGTGAACACATACGCCTTGTTTACATGTGACAAGTTCTTGAGTACTCAACGGTCTAAAGTTTAAATACAGTTGATAAAAATAAAAAATAATTGGTCCAACACACTGCCCTGGGATACTCCACATACTATATTTTTTTTGTCTTCAAGAACACCATTTATAATTACCATTTGAGTTCTACTATTTAGGTAGCTTGTTATCAATTTTAACTTAAATTTGATTCCAAAACTAGGTAAGATTTCGATAAGTTTATCATAATTTACTGGGTCAAACGCTTTGATTAAGAAAATGTTTAAGGCTTTTTTTACTGTCAACAATACTTTAAGTATACAGTTATTGACAAAAGGTAATTAATTATAAAAAAATAAGGATAATGGTTCAAAACTCAATTGCATTGTGTTCAAATTTATTTGAATTTTACAAATAATTTTAGGAGTTGTACTATAATTGTAAAGCGATTTATTTTTTGCGTGTATACCATAATAAATACTGAGGTTTAAAATATCTATGAAAAGCTAATGTATGTTTAAAATTGAATTGTTGAAAACTGAATGAGGTCCCTCAGTCCCCCACAAATTCATTGACTTATAATGAAAGATCGGGTTTAATTGCATTTAAAACACACAAAAATTGCATATTAAAATTCTATAATTGCACCAAAAAATACGTAAAAAATGCAAGTTATATGAAAAATATTAGACAAAGGTTGCTTTTTTTTAATTAGAATTAAATCTTCTATTACTTAAAATATTTGTGTACAAAGAAAAACTACGTTCTACGTCTACACTAGTAATTGGTGCATATTTAAATGCATAATTAAAGTTTTATACTCTCCATTTTTTTCAATGACATACATACATTTTTCTTTAATTTTTTTCCCATTTGGACCAGGAATATTTGTTAAAATATCATCAATTTTTCTAAAAATATCCATGCTTTTCAGTAGTTCACTATTAGATTCTTTCAAATGTTTAAGATTAATGGATAACTCGGATAAGTGTAATTTTATGAATGCTAAACCACATTTGACTGCATTATGTTGTACAAGTTGTTTCAGTTTTTCGACACTTGTAGCATCATCTGTTAAACTTGCAATCACGATTTTAAATTCTTCAAAATTATTTGCATAGAAAAGTGCAGCATTTAACAATGCTTCCCATCTTGTAATAATAGGTTCGGGTGGTAAAGGTAAACCAGGCATTTCATTTCTATATTTATTTATTCTCGATGGTGCTTTTAGTAAAGTTTTTTTTCCTGAAATAAACGAAATAAGTTACATACGTATTTAAATTTTAAATTGGTACTTAATATATTACTATTGTTAATCAATTCATTAATGTCGGGATACAATTCTCGAATTTTCTCTAGAACTTTATTACTGCGTGCACCACACATGCAATATGAATTGATTTCGGGAAAAATATTTTTAATGTTTTTGTTTTTTTGATCATTTAAGTACCAGCATCAATAATAAAAAGTAATACTTTTTGTTCAGGAAATATTTTTAACGAGGAATTAATAAACTGACAAATCGTTTCATAAATGGTAGATACTAGTTTTTTACATGCAACTAAATCTGATTTACTAGGCGTCCCATCAAATTTATTAATTAATAAAATTGTAATAGACAAACTTAAACGAAAATAGTATATTTTATTATATGAGAAATTAAAAAAAATTATTTATACAGACCTCTTGGATCGGTTGTTTCATCAACAATTATCTAAACGTAATTATTTGGTCCATATCAACGCTTTTATAATTACTTGGTATGTAATTTTTTCTTAAAGTGCTTTCGTACGGAATTGATTTTCCAGCACGTTTTTCCAAAAATGATTTTAACACATGATTGCCCAGCTTATACAAAGGAATATTTGCAGCAACAAATGCACTCTTCAAAAATACATTTTTACTGTTCGAATTTTGAGAAGTAATCAAAAGCTATTCTTTTCTTTATTCCTTTGTAACGCATTTATGTGTTGAACTAAAAAACATATTCAAGTATTTTTGAAATAATGTGTAGTACGAGCATAAAATACAAAACTTAATTGTTTTGGAATGATGATCTAATAGATATTTGTTTTCAGTAGACACAGATTCGTTACACACGAGACAATATATAACCTTTCCGTCTGATGAAAATACTTCTTTATTTTCATTGTAAGGAGCAATCCAATTCGAAATTTTACTTTTTAAAGTTGATTTTATTTTAGACATTACGTCGAATGCGATCACTGTACGGTCAAACTGATCAAAGAAATAGGCACTTGGGTACCAACAGGTAAACGCACACGAATCGCTGTACTACTACGTAGAATTTAATTACCACCATTTATATATATATAGGCGCGTATCGTTCGCTGGGCTCTATTTTTAGTACATATCGGCTGTATATTTAATCAGATATGATTTACTTTTATTACAAAAAAAGTGGCAATATCAATTAAATCCGGTCTTTACTTAAAATGTTCAACGCGTATACACCAAGTTGAAACCCACGCTATGCCATTGGTACAAAATAGTAGATACCTATCCCTAACTACACACTTTTGCGTGTCTGTAATAATAGTCGATAGTATAAAATGGTTTTTTTTTTTTTTGTAAAGCTGTTTTTAAGAAAAAAAAATACGGGCTTGGGAGGAGGGCGGCCCTAGGGCCTCCTGTCAACTAGTCAACAATTGTGGATATCCTACCGGTAACTCAGTAAAATATTTTTAGTTTGGAAAATTAAAGAAAATCTATAAATACAATAATAATAATTAATTCTATATTGATAATTAATGTATCCAATATAGGTGTACATTTTTATATACATTTGATTCATAAATATTTTTACCGATGTATCGATAATATTGGAGAACAACACCGAAGACTTATATCGATATACCGTGTGAAATTATCGATACTTTCGATATATCGTTACCATCCCTAAATTCGAAACAATATTTCTTGTTTGTAGATGGAAAAAAATAAAAGTCCACGACACCTCATAGTAAAATCAATACCTACCTACATTCCTTGCTACGTCCAGAATCTAAAAAATGCACAACCAAATTAGATTGAAACAGTTTGGTCGGTGGATGTTTGAAAACTGTGACAAATGTTAGCAGTTTCATAACAGTCGAGTATTCGGTCGTAGGTGTGTCGTATGTGGATAAAATGGCACGTGACGGAAACCAGTTTTGGGCTTAAGTTTTGCCATCATTAGTCGTCACAACCATACGATTTTTAATGGCCGTCCCCACTACCTACGGCCCGAATCTTCTTCAGCCGTAGTTCGGCCAAGGCCAAGGACAATCATACACCGTTCGTTCAAATTCCCATTACCATACCGAAGTAATCGAGCGTACGTGTGCCCAGCGACTATATACTAAAAAAAAAAAAAATACCTACCTGCTAACTATATGTTACTTGTATAGTGAGTAGCTTTTTTTTTTTTACCAAACATTGAAAATAAAAAAATACTAAGTCTGTGTATAAAAAAAAATAGTCGCATTACGCGTTTAATGTGAAATTACAGTCACTTGTGTTACAATAATCATATTTATAAAAAGAAAAAATTAAAATTAAATAATGACAAACATCAAGACGGTTTTTGTTACCGGTGGCGCGGGATACATCGGCAGTCACTGCGTTTTGTCATTGTTGGAAGCTGGGTATGATGTAGTGGCCATTGATAACTTTGCAAACAGTGTCGGTCAAGAGAAAGCCGCTAGTCTAGATAGGGTGTGCCAAATCACTGGAAAAGAAGTAATCTTCTATAAATGTGATCTACTAGATATACAACAGCTGGACGAAATATTCAACAAAGTAATCATTTATTCAATCATAACAAAAATTAATAATTTATCATGTTGTTTTAAACCTAATGTAGCATAAATTTGACTGTGTTATACACTTTGCTGCAATGAAATCGGTTGGCGAGTCAATGAAACAACCACTGATATATTACAAGAATAACATTATAGGCGCAATGAATCTTTTGGAAGTGATGGCTTTGCACAAATGTTACCAATTGGTATTCTCTAGCTCGTGTACTGTATATGGAAACCCTGCATTTTTACCTATAACCGAAGATCACCCGATTGGTAATGTCACAAATGTTTATGGCCGTACTAAATATTTTATTGAAGAAATACTCAAAGATACTGTAAATTCTGATCAAGTAATATGAACATTTATAACAAGTTAATATCTAAAAGATCATTACAAATGAAAAAAAATGTATCTTTCATTATTACTAATTTGATTTTTAGAAATGGAATATTATAAGTTTAAGATACTTCAATCCAGTAGGAGCTCATTCTTCAGGTTTAATTGGAGAAGATCCAACAACTAATTTTTCTAACTTAATGCCATATATAGCTCAAGTAGCTTTAGGGAAAAAAACTAGTTTGTCAATCTATGGAGAAGATTATGCAACATCTGATGGCACTGGTACAAAACATTAAATATTTTACTAATAGTTGGCAGAATATAATAATTTGATGCAATAATATTTATTTACAGGTATAAGAGATTATGTTCATGTGATGGATTTAGCAGAAGGACACGTAGCAGCCTTAAAAAAAATACAATCAAATAAAGTAGATTTAAAGGTGATAATTTATATATTTGAATACAACTTTTTTGGGTATTATATAATAATTTTACGTTTGTAATTAAAATTAAAATTAAAAGAAGTATTATTTGAAAATAACTTTTAAAGTGATTTCAAAAGTAATTGATATCTTGTATGGTAATATGATCTCCAATAGTTATTATGTAATATGTATAATTAATTATCATATGTGTTTAATATTTTTTTATACCTGTAACACAATTTTGATTCTTATACTTAATTAGGTTTATAACTTAGGAAGCGGACAAGGTACATCTGTATTAGAATTTGTAAAAACTTTTGAAAAAGTCACAGGCGTTAAAGTACCATACACAATTGAAGCACGACGTGAAGGTGACATAGAATCAATGTATGCTAATTGTGATTTAGCAAAAAAAGATCTGGGTTGGACTGCTAAATACAATTTAGAAGATATGTGTAAGTTTTTTAGTTGGTAAATAAAATGTTAACATATTATATTTTGCATTTCTTAACATTTTAGGTAGAGACTTTTGGAAATGGCAAACTATGAATCCTAATGGTTATAAAAAGAGCGAAACAACCACTAAAAATGGCAAAACAAATAGTCACTGAAATTGATTAAATACCTTAAATACCATAATCAGTGTAGTATGATTTTTTTTCTGTGTGTCCATTCTATTAAACATTTATCATTTTTAAATGCTCCCAAACAGCAGTAAAACAGTTTAGAATATTCTTCTGATAAACATTGAATGGTTCTCATGGTTTTAAGCCATTCAATAACTCTAGAAGACTTGAAATACAGTGTTATGAAACATAAAATAAAATAATAAACTATAAAAAATTATATTACATACTTGTGATGTGTTCTTAGAAAATGTTGCCAAAGCAAGAGGAAAAACTACCCATTTTAAGTTTTTGTCATTATTAAAAGATATACTATTATACCCTGATAATGTTATAATAAGGTCAATAAAAATTGAGCACAATAAACAAAATGAATCCTGAAATTAAAAAAAAATAAAAATAACACTTTTTTTTCTAAAGCTTAAAATCTTAATAGACAATAATTTGAACATCAGAAAACATAAATTTTTCTTTTAAAATATCTATACCAATTATAATATAATATTATTATATAAGTAAAGGTAAAAATATATTGAAAATAATATGTTGTATAACTTTACGGAAATCAATGTTTTCAAAAAAGAAATTTTCCTAGTGATTTAAATTTTAAACATTTGAAAATATTACTTGGTCTATGTTAAATTGATGTTACCTGTATACTAAAAATAATGTTTATTTTAAATAAACACATAATTATACTTGCTTTTGTAACAGAATTATTTTTTTTCGTAAAACCTGCTAGATAAATCATGAAATTGGCAATGAATTGTTGATGATATGGAACAAAACTGTCAAGTTTAAATATTTCTGTAACTTGATTGCACAAAAAATCATGTCCTCTAAAAGAATTTAAATTTATCAGTACAAAACATTAATTAATTTAAAAGTAAATTACTTGGAAAATTGACTGCACGCTTGAATACATTCATTAAATTGATCAAAGGAAACATTACTAGAAACAAAATTTTGTACACAACTTAGAATTATAAACTTTACAAGCATTGATTCTTGAACAGGATATGGCTTTATGTTTTTCAACACTTCCACAGGCATTGCTAGGCAGCAATCAAGAAATGCATAAACAATTTTCTAAAATATAAACATTTTTTAAATATTAAATTGATAATTTTACAAGGACAAATACCTTATTTTCCAAATGTATAGTACACCATATATTTTCCAAAATATTACAAATAATGTAAACATTCTCTATATGTGTTTCAGGGCTTTGTAATATTTGTTTATATATAGATAAAATATGGCATAGCAAATCAATATCTATAAATAAAAAAGAAAATTAATTAAATTTTAAAAACAAATTGTTTATTTTAATTTTTAGTAATATTGTACCTATATCAATGTTAAAATATGTTTCATTCATGATATTATTCAAGATGTCATTTACAACATCTGCCATAAATTGCTTTTGTGAAATGTGATAATGAATATTTGAGACTTTGTATAAAACTGTAAAAAGTAATTTCATTTCATGAATCTGAAATAAAAAAAATGCTTTTATATTATTACTTAAAAAAACATTGACCTGTAATCATATTACATTAAGGTTTGATCGATGTTCATAACACTTGTGTAGAAGTCGAAACGCTGAAGTGGATCTTATCGATTGTTTGGCAATTAATACAACCGATTCCTTCCATAATTTATGTTGAGGCCCTTCAATTAAATATTTATCCAAAAAAGTCCAATCAAACGGATACATTGGTTTATCAGCACCATTAATGACAGCCAAACAAGACATTTTACAAACTTCATCAGTATCTAAAATTTTTTTCCGTTTTGGGACAACAAATGACATTAATCCTCGAGCAATACTATGATTTGAGAGATGTTTTAAATTTTTGGGCTCATCTGTAATTAAATATTAATTAAATCAACATTATACATAATATTTATACTTGATTAAAATACACACGGTCAGACTGGGTTCGTGAAATAACATTATTATCCAACTCTTGTCTAAGCCAAACTGATAACATTAGCTGAGCTTCATTAAGACAAGTTTTGTTAATAGTTTGAAGAAATTTAACCCAACATTCACCTAAAGTAGAACAAAATAAATAGTTAGACACAAGAAATCTTGTTAAGTTTTTAGTTTTTACCTGGTATAGGACTATTAAGTAAATCTATTTTTTCTAAATCTTCTAATTGAGTTTTGAGTTTTGGGAAACTTTGGAATTTTACCGGTAACACATGAAGTGGCATACTCTCTAAATCTATGTCAGATAAAGACCTAAAACATTTTAATTCAAGTTCCATAATTGTTTAAATAGTTATAGGTTAGAATTTACTTGAGAGCACATTTAACAGTATTGTCATTTGGATCCAATACCATATACCATAACTTTTTAAGAAATGCATGGCGTTTTTCATTTTCCACCATTTGATTAGCAGATACAGTTAGTAAATTACAGTAGCTGTAAAATATTTAAAATTAAAATAAAAAAAATTAGTTGATACAGATAAAAAAATTTTTACCTTGATATTACTGAAGGATGGTGAACATCAAGAATATTTTCATCAATGATTTTTAAAAGGGCCTCTGGTTTAATGTATTCATTAATACACAAATCAACTAAAGATTGCAATGTTAATTTCATTGGCAGATACATAGAACGTTTAATGTAAAATCCAAGCATCCGTTTCAATACAACTACTAGATCAGAATTTGGACTGAAATAATAATAACAATATTAATAAAAGTAAGATCAAAAGTCTAAAATTTAATTTTAATACAATTTTAAACTAAAATTTGAATATTAATTATACTTTGATTTTACTATTTTTTGAATAGTATATGATTTTACAACATTCCATTGCCATCCGGGTTTATCTTTTGAGAGACAATATAATAGAAATCTATAACATCTAATTTCTGTTAGCCACAAGTCATAATACATATCAATGCTCAATATATTAAGAGTTTCTTCATTGCTGTTTTCGAAACGTTTTATAAAACTTATGATCAATGACAAGTTATCCTATAAGAATAGATTTAGATTAATAAATAAGAACATAATTATTTCGAGTGATATTATTGATTTGTAATTTCAAAATTTTTGCTTTCGGAAAATATTTTAGTACTATTTTTAAAATAACTTCAGAACATAATTATATCTAAATTAATAAATTCTTTCTGTTAAAATTAAACAATAAATTATAATTTTTATTTAAATAAGAATAGATTATATACACACGAAAATAAAAAATAATTAACCAACCTGTATGCAAGCCGCCGTAGGTATGACTTTCATTAAATCAAATCTATTATGATAACTTGTTTCTATATTCACAGCATAGCTAATTAATGGCACCAAAAATTGTTTATTTAACAATTTTAACATAATTTGTTGTTGAGAACGATCACCCATTTTACTTAAGTAAAGACCAGCCAAAAAAAAATTAAACTCACTATCATTTAATAAACTACTGATTTGATTAATTTCAGACAACCATTTTGAAATTAATTGTTTATCATTAAATTCTTTACATAGTCTGAAAAATATAATAAGTATTATTTTTGAAGTGAATTTATATTTACTTATATCACTAAAGTATTAATATTTATTAATAATAATAAAGTGTCTTACTTTACAAGCGAGTATGATATTATTAAAAATGAATCAGTTGTTAAATATGGTAATAAATTATGATTTTGTGAACATGATTTGGTTATTATTACTGAAAATATTTAATTTAAAAATGTATAAATTAAAATAAAATAAAAATAAAAATAATATTACAATCAGAATTTATAGTTAACAAGAAAAGATTCATTATTTCATCATCTACTACTTTGGTCCGATTCCATTGCAAAATACTAACTACCATTGTTTGAGCAATGATTTTATGGCATCCATAATTCTGAATAACTTTCAAGCCTAAAAAATAAATAAAAATAAAAAAAATAGGTTTTAGTATATTACAAAAGTTTAATATTTTCATGACAAATTTTGAAGAACATAAACTCAAAGTTTTAGAGAAACATAATAATGAAATATCTGAAGCACATGGACATATGATTAAAAGACTATTCAAGTGTTGCAACACAAGGGTTGGATCATAACCATATGAAATAAATTGAATTGATGTTTGAAGTACACATAAACATAAATTATATTTTGTTTCGTGTAGTGTATCAGGAATATGAATACAAAATTCTTCTAAAAAATTGTATACAAACAGGGTATCATCCAAATTAGAGGTCTGTAATAAATAATAATTTTAAAAACAATATTATTGAAATCAAAAATTTAATTTTATAATTGTCACCTGTAACCAAGAATAAATCTCAAATAGTAAATCGTAATCAGCTGCACAACTGAGTATTTCAACAAATAGTTTTATAAATGTAGTACGGTAATGATTTGGTGTTTGAGATAAAAATATAAATTTAAATAGACGTTTAGTAACTTTTAACCAATTCTTAATAAACCTGAAATAGTTATAAATAATATAATATACAATTAAATCAGTACTCAGCATGGAAAATTGAACCAGAATGGTTTTTTTTTTAAATATGAATATATAACTAAAATATTTAAGAAATTGACAATAATTGAATAAAACAAAATAGTAAACATAAAGTTATAAACAATTGAAACTGTATTCTGGTCCATACGATCATATTGGTCAATGATATGTGTAACCATTTATTTACCTAAAATTGTCGAAATTTGTATTGATTTTCATATGAATTAAAATTGTAGACCATTCATCAAGATTTTCATCCATTATTTTTATAAGAATATCCACTAAGGTGTTGATGTATTCACTATAAACAGTTTCGTTTTCCAACCAACATACTAATAATTGAAATATTTCTTGTATAAATCCTGTTTTACACTTAATTTGTGGATTTAAGACGACTAACCAGTCAATTAATAATTGATTTTGATAATTATTAGTTGCCAAAAATGCACATAAACCCCGAAATGCAGTAGTACAGATAATTGGATTTGGATGACAACAATACTCTTGGAGGATTAACATTTCAGTAATCTATAGTAAAAATAATAACATTCAAATAAATAGTAATATATTTAATTAAATCGTTTTTATTTTTTTTTGTAAAAAGTTATAATTACATTAGTCATATCTGTACGGATTCCTTTAATTTTAGCTTTAATAATATTAATCAAATTGTCTGTTGCCTGAAAGGAATAAAATTAATATTATATACATTTTATTACTATTGAGTTAAATATGTATAATATTAAAACCACTATTATAATATTTTGGTATTTGTGGTTAAACCATTTACAGAAGCAACTAAGATGGGATTTCCAGAATCCATTTTCCGTCTGATTTCTGGAAGAGTGTCCATTATATGAAGTTTGTTCTATGAAATTAAACAATTTGATATACAAATTAGTAGTTTTATAGAAGTAAACAAATTGCATTAAATAAATCAGACAATAGACAACAGACGATTCACAATACACGAATAAAAATACAATATGTCTATAATGAATTAAACAGTGAAATCAAATTATTTGTTGATCTTATCAATAAAGTTATATCATGTTCATTGATTAGGTTTCACGATTAAAGATATACAAGTATATTATCTTTAATTGTGGTAGGATTTTAGATTATGATAGTGTTATCTTAATCGGCCTAGAAGTAAAAAATATTAAAATAGTGTAAATTTGAGCAACACACTACACTATTTCTGAATCCGAATGCACCTTAACAAAATGGTTAACCCCGAAATTTTAATTTTAAATTGGTACTAATATAATTTATAAAATTTAAATATTCATTAATCATATGTATGTTCTTAAAATAAGTTATTGAAAGTTCTGTTTATGTATCTTTTTATTTGTAATTTCATTTTTTATTTTTTTAGATGTTAAGATTGAATCACAAATTAAATCTTAATATATTATGTTCTAAGTGTAAAATTTTAAGAAGTGTACATTTAAATTGGACATTACATGAAAATACATCGATTGTTCATGACAGTAGACACAAACTCAACAAACCAATTTGCTATAATTACCACCATGATGTAATGGAAGTGTACACTAACACTCTCATTCTCAAAAATGTTGCAAAATGGAAAACTGATCAATTTTCATCGTCAAATAAATTGTTGAACAACAAATCAAATTCCATTTTTAAATATTGTGATGATCCAGATCATCTAATTACATATCTAAAACAATGTCTTGAAGGTTGTTGTAAAGTAAGTAAAAGTCTTTTGACACAATTCATGTTAACAATGGCAAAACATGGCCGAGTAAATGGCTTAATACTAATTGAGAGACTTAATGAAAAATATGATTATGGTATTAAGAAGTCTGAATTACAAATGAGTTTTGCTGAAGCATATTGGACAAATGGTAATTTGATTAAAATGTTTAAAGTGTTTGAAATAATTTATCCCGTGGAATCTACAAAAGTTAATTTTGTATTAGAACCCATTATTTATACAATAGTTAAATCACGGGGATGTGCATCAATAGTTATACTTTCAAATTTTGTCAACTGTATTACTATTGAACACAGAAACTACTATCCAATGAGCATCCTATGGAAGTATTTATTTTTAAGTGAATTATATAATGATAACCTAGCAGCAGATCAATTAACTCAACAGAATAGTAATTTGATAGAATATATACAATACCTCGTACCAGCCATTATGGATAGCATATTAAAACAGCATAATATTGACTGCGCTCATAGGTTAATGGTTATGCTGTTAAAACATGATCGAATGGAATTTTATCAGTTGGTTTTAAAATCGCTATTTGAATATTATTGTAAGTATTTTTCATGGTAAATAATTAAATATAGGTATTTAAAATATTACCTTATGAATTTTAAATTATAATTTTAATTAAGTATATTGAAATAAACCATGTATTATCTGGAATATATCTTATGAAGAGGTATGGTTTGTATGGTCCTATTGACCATACAAATTTTTTAACAAATTCATGACTTGCATGGTAAAACAAGTTTTAAAATATTATAATTATCAACAATAGTAACATATTAAACACATTTTAACTCTGAAGTGTTGCTCAATATAATAAAAATGCTTCCTAAGATATATTTAAAGACGAATAATTTTTTTTTTCTAATATAACCGACAGCAATATGGGGTTTGTTTAACACAATACTTCACTCACTGCTGCTATTATTTATTATGAAATAACTTATACTGTATTTACAATTTACACCTTTCCCTTGAGAATAAAGCTAATATATTCTTAAATCCACTACCTACCTGGTCGTTCTTAACAGAGTATATGGGCTGTATGGTTACTTATAAGATGTGTAATGTATTTAATGAAATGAAAACATTCAAATTAAATATAACAATAAATAATTTCAAATATATTTTATTGTGTTAAAAACAAATTGATATAAAAATAATAATAATATTTATACATGTTTATAAAAGTGAATTTTTATGAATTCAAAATAGATTTTTTATGAACATTTTAAATATTATTATTCAGTCAGTATTGGTTTAAAAAAAATATGTGTATCAATTTTTCAGACATGCTGGGTAATGTTCGTCAATGTAAAGAAATAATGAAAAACTCTTTTGAATTGAATGTACCACTAACACAAGTACAGCAATTACAATTAATTAACATGGTATTCAAAAATAAACAACCACGACAAATTAACAAAGAAGTGACTGCTACCATATTCAAACTTATGTTTTAAATTAGTAATATTACTTGATTTTAGTTTTTTTTTTAAATAAAAAAAAATTGATTTTTCTTTGATGTTATGTTATTAAAAGTATTCAAAAAAAAAAAAAAAAAGTAAATAGTAATTGGTAATTGTGTATAATGTTCACAAATGTGTCATGTCCAAACGACTGGATTAATGTAAACACCATGTCTCAAATGATTTAAACAAGTAAACCTTTGAGGGATCACAGTATATGCTATATATTGTGATTAATAATTTCCTCAAGTTCCTTTTATTATAAATATAGAAAATAAAACAAGTTAAAAAAAGAGATAATAATATTATTTTAGTTATTATAATGTAATACAAATAAATCCATCCCGTTCCAATATTAAAAATTGACTTATGTATATATTCTTAAAAATTTAAGGATCCAAATGGATATTTTTTTGGTCTTTATAATTTGTAAAAATAAATTTTTATTAAAAAAAAAAAAAAATACTTTGATTGTAAAATAAATATAGGTAATAAACTAATATTTAATATTAACTAGATATTGAATAAATAAATATTGATTAGAACAACTTAACAATACTATAAACAAGGTATCACAAACATATAATTCGGATTTTACACATTACATTAATTAGTAGATCTACATTTTTTAATTTGTATTATGTGATAATATTAAAACAGTATAATATATTTGTCTTAGAATATAAAAAGTTATGATTGAACTCTGTCAAAGTGGATGGTTTCATGAATCACAAATTCCATAGAAAATATTAGTAAAACAAACAAAAAATACTCACATAGATGGTAAAATTATAATCAGTAAAATTTGGGCTGCAAAATAAAATAAGTAATTAAAATGTAATATTGTGTAGGTATATAGGATAATAAAACTTCAATTTACCTGATCTGGTGTTGTTGAATGAACAAAATCATCATCATCAGAATCATCATCCCCAGAAGACTCACTGCGATCTTTCAAGGCTATAAAGTCCAAATTATTTATTCAAACACCAATTATTATACTATTTAAAATATTTCATAATAAAAACGTACAATTTTTGAGATAATTAATATTAGTACTATTTTGTTGCGCTCTATCTCTGGATAATTTATCAAAACAGTGTAGACAGACACGTAATGGTTTGGATGATTGATTTGGTAGTAAAAACCGTTTACTCGAACATGGACCACATACCACAGTACCACAGCTACGACAGTGATGCTGAAACAAACACAAATAAATATGAAAAAATAAAAATAAACCAATGCATTAATTAACTATTGTACTTACCCTTCGATTGAGTACTGTAAATTGAGTCTTTTTACAGTGCATGCATACATTTGCTTCTGAATCTGGTACCCAAACAGCAGCATGCACTTCTACTGCTTTTTTACCACTCTTTCTTAATAAATCTTCAATGCATTTATTGATATGTGCCATCCATTCTTGTTTTTCAGTTGAAGTAGCTGCATATACCGCAAATGACTTGGATGCCGTACGGATTAACCAACCATTTCGTAACTCTTAACATTATCATATAAATGTCATGAATAATTTAAAAAAAAAAAAATTATATAACGTTAATATTGATTAGGCAGCTTATTTTAAGTTACAATATTCTAACTTACGCCCATCATCTTGTAATGATTCCAATTTTACTTCTTCTAATGGTATAACATGTTGTTTATTATACTGAAACAAATTTATTTAAATAATAAATACATGATAGTATTTGTGTACAGAGTAACAACAAGTATATAGTATACCTTTTTTTTGTTTATAATGATATTTCCATACACTAAAATGTCATTGAACAAAAAAAACTGTCTGGGTTTGGGTTTTTTGCGACAAATTTTAGTCAATACGCCTTCGCCAACTAATACACGTCCAGGAACAGTTAATGGCTGCAATTAAATACATTTTATTATAATTTAGTATTAACGTTCAATTGTAACAATAATATAAATACAACTTACTTGTCCAGAACCACCGAAACAACTTTCAACCATAGCAATACGACGTGCATTGGCTTCGCTATTTACTGGACATGCAAACATCAGAGTATTGTAAATATAAATACACATACATTTGTAAGTGCAAATAATAAGTGTTGGAACACAAAACAAATTATTACTTACCTAACCGGTCCACCATTGTTTGAAAACTATTTTGGATCCACAGTGTTTGTATGTAATAACTAATAGGCTAAATCAGCCAATATTATATTAGGAAAATAAAATAAACTAACACTTCAAGGTCTATAACGGTAACTATAAAAGAAAACAAAACAGAAAAATGTAATACTTACAACCAGTTAACGAAATTGAAAACAATAAAACTATGTCATAATCAGAACACGAATATTTATCATATTCTTATCATTTTGACGTCATTGTAGTAGACAGTAGTAGGTAGTTTTATCATCTAAACATTTATTTTTTTTTTTAATAATAATATGCTCATTAGTTTATACAGTTTACCTAAACAGTTAACAAAACTAGTTTCGATGAACTTTGTACTCAAAAAATAGCGTAACGGTCTTACTGAATTACTTATTAATTACATTAATAATACAACCCTACAATCATGAACAACTTGTGGCTGCGATTTTGTTTGTAGTCTCTAGTCTTGTGCAGTAATTCATGTCTACAATACAGTCACTATTGAATGTTAACAATAATACCTAATTTATATTTTATAGATCAATACTTACAGAAAATTATAATAAAAATATTTTGAGCGTTTTTTTTTTTATAAGTAGGTATACTTACTTATAAATAAAAACAGGTAAAGTAATATGAAATAAATTTCATTGGCTCTATTTGAGCTACCTATTTGAATTTTCAAAGTACTTACTTACTATTTGTGGGCTAAGAAGTCACCTGTCCTATTCGAGTCGTTGAAGTTTATTGGTAGTAAGTTAAGTTATAGAGAAAGCAAGGTTTATATTTAGGTATTAGGAAATTAGTTGAGCACCTATCTAAACAAGCTAATTAAGCTTAAACGGCTATACCTACTATCTAGCCGCCCAGACGGTGGCCGCTAGTCTGTGAACGTGTTTGCGGCCTTTAGTCGTATTTGTGTCTGAGGGTCCCCAGGCTCCAAGATTTATAAAATACCGTCATTGAAATATACAATATAACACATATAATGAATGTTTTAGACTACTTGACTGTGGCAGACTGCAGTAAAATAATAAAATATTATCATTTATTATTAATAATTGTGTGGGTGAGTAAATTAATACACAGATAAGTAACTGAAAATTGAAATATTGCTGAAAATCACTTGAGAATATATCTAGCTTATATAATTGTATATAATAATAATAATTTATTAATAGATATCTACAGATGAGAAAACGTAGACATTATATTATTATATTAAGAGACAATAAAACTAAACCAAAATAAAATAAAGTAGTTATGTATTAATCAGAAGTCTGTATTACATATAAATATTTAGGTATATGTTTAAAATTACTGTTATTAAAATTTAAAGGTGAAAAGAACAAACAATCATGTGTAGGAAGTTCATCACATAAAGCCGTAGCCCTTGGATGGGAAAGTATTTCAAATAATTTGCACAATGTGCAGGCGCCAATTGTCTGGGGCAAGGCTGTAGCTGGAAAAAAATTTTCTGGGGAGTTTTAAATCAAATAATATATTTTCATAGCATCTAGTTAAAAAAAAAAAACCTGACTTTTTATCATGTTAAAATACTTAATATTATTTTAGAATATTTTAAATTAAATTTATATTATATAAAATTATTATTTTAAGGACATTTTATAGCATAAAATATAGCATTCGCTTTTTTTCTTTGGTGAAACGATCGATAACATCATCCGGATCGATTTTAATTTGCCTGTGCACACTTAAAAGAGCTAAACCTGTAAGATGTTTTTTGCCCGATGAGGTTACGTAAATAATTTTTTAATCTTTGCATGGTTGAAAATGTGTGTTCTGGCGTAAATTGTGCAGAGTATATGTCAGCTTTTTAAATTTGCCTTATCATTCAAATAATTGTTGATATTTGCCCTAAAATTATTTACCTAGCATCCTTTGCTCTTTTTTACCAGTCCACGCCTGGCTATGTGATGGGTATATGAAACAAAAAAGTTGAGCGGTTATTCTTATGGAATATTCGAAGAGATTAATAAATCGGGAGTATCAAATTTTCCATTTTTATCAAAAACCCACTATCAGGTAAACCTGGGCCTAACCTACAGTGACCCATCGACGTGCAAAGTATAATTTTCTTTTTTTACTACTTTAATGCCCATTAATAATACCTACGAAATTGCATTTTTATCAATTGCAAACCTTGAGTTTACTTTGTATTACGCATAATTATATACCTGTCATAAATAGTATAAGTGGTGTTAATTATTTAACTGTGTTTTCTAAGGTTAGGTTAGGATCTATATGAGCCCGAAGCTACTTGTATAATTATGAAAATATTCATATATTTTACATGTTTTTTGATTCGAAGCAGAGCGAGGCATATATTGGTTTTACAAAGATGTTTACATTTTTTATTTTTTTTTTTTTATGTGAACACTTTTTCTACCAGAAAGCTCAATCCGATTTATATGATACAGACCTTTTTCGGCCAGAAAATTTTCTTGAGGTGGTACTTAAAGAAGGTAATTTTTTGATTTCCCCAGGAGTTTTCCCAATAAATGGGAAAAACCGGGAAAATGGGTACAATATTAAACAAATATTATTAAAGAAAATATATAATGCATGTATGAAATTATTTTACCATAATATGGCATATATATTGGTTACAAATTATCACTATCAACTGAACTCCGCTCAGAATCGTTTTTTCGTTAGACATGGTTAATCGTTGCTTACAAAAATACATTAAATTACCTATAACCGTGACTACACTCGTCTCCATAATCCTAGGACAGCTTTTTTGATTGAAAATATCCATAGAGACTTGACATTTTTACAGAGAGCGTTTTGTAGGCGTAGTCCAATGTTTAAATTATTTTGCCGATTTTTGAGCTATTTATTGATACTTGACATTCTCGAGTTTTTATTAGTTTTTTTTTTTTTTACAAGCGTTATTTTAAGTTAAAGTTTTGACGGAAATCTTAAAAATTTACGACATTTCAAAAAATGTACTTATCTACACAACTTAACTTCGCTCAGAATCGTATTTCGTTAGCAATGATTTGTTCTTCTGTACAGACATACAGATGGGCACACCCATCAGCAGTATCGGCTATTTTTTCATTTTAAAGTCAGAACGCACCTTCCTTAATGTTTTAGCGCTTTAAATATTTAGGTTATACACATTAAAAATAATTCTCGTCACACTGCAGCAGGGCGAAATGTGAGTTGTGTTCCGGTACCGCCGCCACCGAAGAGGTACAGGTACCTAGGAATATATTTTCTTCAGGAAACGGCCAGGTCCTCCGTAATTATATTACTGGGCCGGAACAATTTCGCCGGGAAGATGGCAGCATTACGGTTGCGATTTATGATGATTGCGTGAGTCCATCTGATAGGACGCCTTAAATTAATTGGTGTTATCCCCACGTCGTACTTTACGGCCAAAACTATACGGTGGTGTTATTGTTGTACGACGCCCCGGACGTTTTGAATATTGTTTTCGGTTTTTCCGGGACGCGGCACGGAATCAATTTTTATCAACAACAATAATTATTATTTTACATCATTATGATTTATTACCGCGCATAAAACACAGAAATATACATACTAGTAAATACCATAGGTAGGTGCTACATTAATTATTGTCGACGGTTGACTGTAATCCAGTATCCTAGGTTCCTACATTCAATAATATTTTTCTCTGATATTATTAACCTCAACTAACTGTCTTGCACGGAAAAAAAAGAAAGTAAAAACGTGTCTTACTGTATTTCACCTACATCCTTGCCACCGTTACCGTTGTTACCGTGTAATTTAATTTTTTTTACACATACTTCCTTGTTCTTGACGGCCAAATCAACTAATAATCAACCAAAAATATTAAAACGCTCGTGACAGCCGGGCGTCATCCGATTGCGTCCCGGTTTTACCTTTTTAACCCTTTTCGAGTTTCGATTGTATCCGGTTTTAGCAGGTAAGCGGTCCGATTGCGCCCCAAACGAAAAATTGAGAATTTCGATTGCGTCCAGCAATAATATTCCAACTACTAAAACTCATATCATATATTAAGTATAAAACTAATAGTATAGAACTAAAACTTTTTTGACATGTAAATAATACGTTTTGTACACAAATTATTAAAGATTTATAATAAGTCATTTCATGGCAATCTCATTTCGATTGTATTGAATTTTCGATCGATGTATAATAATATTACATATATTTAGTTTTTCAGGCCTTATTCGAGATATAGCCATTTAAATTTGGTTAAAAAATATGATTTTTTTTTATCGATTATTAAAAACAATTTTAAATGCATAACTTTAAAATTGAAGAAATTTGACTTTGTTTCAACGAATAAAATTATTTGTAAAGATAACAATAAAATAGTATATACATATGCATAATAACATACGTTTTAATTTTTTTGAAAAATCTATATGAATCATATCTTTTAGCCATTTTTAAATAACTTCAGGTAATCTTGAAGTGACAAAAATAATTGTATAAACAAATGTTGCTCGAAAAAATTAGGACTATTCGAATCTAGTCACAAAAATAGCTCTTGCTGTTTAAAAAATGTAATTTTTTATTTATATTGTTCATGTGCGCACCAAAAGGGTTAAATAACAATTTATCTTTAAGTGTATATTTTTATTAACTCCCGAAAACAGAATTCAAGTTCAAAGTTATTCGAATATTAATGTTAAATTTAAAAGTAATCATACTGGATACATAAAAAAAATAAATTTTTTTCTTTATAAGTACATTTTTTGATAATATTTGTATTTTCAATTATAGTTTATATATTTTAAACAGTAAATTACATTTTATCCAAAATTATTTATTAATTAATTGATTTAAGTTCTTATTATTATAATTTAATATTAAAAATTGCCGTAATTTATTATATTACAACCAGAGTGGTTTACATTTTAATTAATTATTATTATCAACTGTTTATGAACTCTTTTTAAGTTATTTTATTAGTTAAAAACACAAAATAACTAAAATTCAATTTTTTAATTAGGTTTTACCGTTATTATTGTGTTTAAAAGTTTAATAATATACAATAACAGCACTCGTCAATGAATATTGTAATTATTATATTGTAATTGTTATATTGTATTATATAATTGATATAATTATATGAAATTATGGCACAGAAAGTAGCGTCTTTAAGTGATTTTTCCACGGTGGAGAGGGATATATTAAAATACAAGAGAAGTTT